TTTCAAGGGGGAGAAAAAGGTGGATTGTTTTTGTTTTTTTGGGTTTTGGGTTGCTGTTGATTTGTTTTTGTACCCAGGCATTGAACTCACAACGTTGCATTTGCCAGGCAGGCGCTTGTGTCACTGCGCTAAATCCCCAGCCCTGAAAAAATATTTTTTAAATTGTTTACTAAGATAACACCCACTGCTACAGAAACCCTAAATAAAGATATTCATTTCACCACTGTATGGAATGGGGACACAGGTGACAAGCAGTTCATCTGTAGGAACAATAGATAAACTGCACCATACAGCACTTACATAAATACATTATATCTAACAATACAGCACTTACATAAATACATTATATTTAACAATACAGCACTTGCATAAATACATTATATCTAGCAGTGATAAGCAATTACATCTAGCAATGTGCACATATTACAAAAGCAATGTTGGGGGAGGGATAGCAAATTTAGTTGGGTAGTATCATTAAAATTTCATTCAAAACACCCCCTAGCCCCACACAGGGGACTGGGCTACATCTCAGCTCTTTTAAAATTTTTCATATTGAGACAGGGTCTTGCTAAACTGTTACACTCAATGGGTTCAGCTGGAACTATACTTCAGCCTCCTAGGGCTCTGGGATTATAGGTATGCAACACCATACACTCAAAACTTAAATTGGGCATGACAGCATACACTAAAATCTCAGCTAGTCGGGAGCTGAGGCAGGAGGATTTCAAGTTCAAATCCAGTTTGACCAACACAAGGGGACCTTGTCTTTTTTTTTTTTTTTTTTTTTCTTTTTATTGGTACTGGGGATTGAACTCACGACCGCCTGCTTGCAAGGCAGGCCCTTAAGCCACTGAGCTAAATCCCCAGCCCTGGGACCTTTTAAAAAAAATTTTTTTTAAGGGATTTGGGCTACAGCTCAATAAACGAGTGTTCCTGATTTAATCCCCAGTACCAACAAAAAAGAATTTTTTAAGTTACAAAAAAATTTGCATGATAGGGGCTGGGGATTTAGCTCAGCGGCATAAGTGCCTGCCTTGCAAGCAGGCAGTCGTGAGTTTGATCCCTGGTACCGATAAAAATGAAAAAGACAAAAAAAAAATTAAAAAAAAAAATTGCATGATCATCTCCATAGTATATTATATAGCCCTTAGAACGAACAATTTGAATTTAATTTTTGCCCCATTAATGAACCTAGACATTTATTTAACTGTTCTACATCTCCAGTTCCCCAACTGGAAATAAAAACAGGAGCTACAGGGGCCAAGGGTTTGGCTGAGAGGCACAAGTGCCTACCTGGCGAATGCGAGGTTGTGAGTTCAATTCCCAGTACCAAAACAACAACAACAACAATAAAAAAAAAAACAGGAGCTATCCAGTTGGAGCATTTATTTGCCTCCCACATACAAGGTCCTCAGTTCAGTCCCCAGTAGGGAAAACAAAAACAATAGCTACATTATACTATTTTATATATTAACTCATTCAATCTTTATAACAACCACAAGACTATTGATTCGATGACTAGCATCTGGTAAGCAGTAAATCTTCAACTCCTACTATAATTATTAAAGGTAGATATTTATAGTGAATATCTAAAAGCATGAACTAAAAAGATGATAAAGTCATAGTATAATTACCTTGGTGGGAAAGAAGAAAAATGAGACAAGGTGGAAAAACAAAAGGAACTTCAATTATAACAATAATCTTTGTTTCCTTTTCTAAAAAAAAAAAAACCACAGTAGACAAAATGGTATGTTCGCTATTTGTTATTTTTTAAAAATATTTCTTGGGGCTGGAGGTTTAGCTCAGCGGCATAAGCGCCTGCCTTGCAAGCAGGCAGTCGCGAGTTCGATCCCTGGTACCGATAAAAAGGAAAAAGACAAAAAAATATATATATATATATATGGGCTGGGATTTAGCTCAGTGGCATAAGCGCCTGCCTGGCAAGCACAAGGTTGCAAATTCAATCCCGGTACCAAAAAAAAAAAAAAAGAGAGAGAGAGAAACTGATAAAAATTTAATATTTTTTTTTAAGTCTATCGCTAATACAATAGCTATGCAGTATGCTTAGGCCAAGAAAATTGAAAACAATTTGGCAAATAAATAGCATCCCAACATCCAAACCAAGCCTCCAGATTCTTAGACTTTTATTCTGTAACAGTTCCACTATAGTTTTTGGTCCAAGGAGAATTTATATCTTAGGTTAAAAACCTCAAAAGCACTGGGGAATTTTTTTTGGATAGTCTAACTTACTTAAGTCCTAAGTTTAAAATAAAAAGAGCTTATAACAAACCTGATATATAGTGTAGAACTCCTCTTACATGCTAGTCATACTAACCACTGAACGGCTGAGATGAGAGGTGAAAAGTACAGACTCCCTCATGGAAATAAGAACTTTATTAACACATTTTGGAAAGCTGAGCTCGGGAAAACTTCCAAACTATGTCTTCTGCTCCTTTGGACACCAGACTAAATAACGACATTTTAAATGAAAGCAACTAAGCTAGAAATAGCATTCAGTATGTCTAACATGTCTAATAGCAATATGTCTAGCAATAATCAGCCATAAAAGGGAGTAAAACTGTGTATCAATACATTCTAAAACCACACCCTACTTTTTTTTTCCCCTCATCCAAAGATTCAAAATACTTTTTAAAATCTCAAAATGAGCTGAACATTTAGTCCTGTGGCATAAGTGCTTGCCTGGCATACACAAGGTTATGAGTTCAATTCCCAGGATCAAAATAAAATAAAATCTGAAAATGATTTTGGGGGGAGGAGTTCAAAACAATCTCACAGTGCAGTCCACATTGGGCTTGAATTTACTATGTAGCATTAAAATGGCCTTGAACTCATGGCAATCCTCCTGCCTCTGCATCCCAAGTGCTGGGATTATGAGCATATACTACCATTCTTAGCTGAAAATGAATTTTTTGTTTTTGTTTTCATCTTTTGCAACAAGGTCTCGCTATGTATTTCAGGGTGGCCTCAAGCTCACTAGGTAGCTCAGGCTGGCCTCAAACTCATGACAATCCCCCTGCCTCAGCCTCCCAAGAGTTGGAATTACAGGCATGCACTACCATGCCTGGCTGAAAACGATTATTTTTAAAATCAGAAAATATACTGTTTGAAATGTGTGAAACTAAAATGCTTTCTGCCTCTGGATGATCTCTCTTAGTCTTATTTATGGAATACTCTCTCTGATACTAGTAATGCCCCTCAGAGTATACATTTTTTGGGAACAGAGAGAACTACAGTTACTCTTACCTTTTTTTTTTTTTTTTTTTTTTTTTGTCTTTTTCCTTTTTATCGGTACCGGGGATTGAACTCACAACTGCCTGCTTGCAAGGCAGGTGCTTATGCTGCTGAGATAAATCCCCAGCCTCTACTCTCGCCTTTACTAGGAAGAAATAATGATTGAAAAAACACAATTTTAGCTGTAAAGAGTACTCGGTCCAAGAGATTATACTTTGTTGATCAAGTAAGAATAATTAATTTTAAGCTTGCAAAAATTTGTATTCTTAAAATGAAAAGTGGGGGTTTGGGCTATAGCTCAAAGGCATAAACGCCTGCCTGGTAAGTGCAATATCATGAGTTTGATTGCCAGTACCCCCCACAAAAAAGAAAAGTTGTAATACTTGATCTGCTTCACTAAAAATATTTCAAGTAGAGTCCCAGTGGTTTTCATCTAGTGTTTGTGAATTTTAGCGGGAGTATTTGGACAGGGAGGAGTTATTTCCACAGCAATAGGGGTGTGGGTGGGCAGTACTGGTATTTCAGTGGGCAGAGACCAGAGAAGCCAAATGGGCTACAATGCACAGAGCAGAACTGCACAACAGAGAACTGTCCTGCCCTGAATGCCAGAAGAGTCTCAGTACAACACCATGGTAGAAAAGCTTAGTCACTTCTGCTCTTCAACTAGGAAACAACCTTTAGTAGTCATTCGAAAATGCCAAAATTATGTGACTTTCAAGGACACATAAATAATTTTGTAGTAACTGTGTTCATAAACTTGGAAGTTCAAAACTTTTTGCTTTACACAGACAGGTTTATATTCTAGTATAGTAGTAGTTTATTCTGGGATTGATTTAGCCTGCACAAAGAAAACACAATTTGAGGGGGGTTTTTTATCCCTGGTTCTGAGGACAAAACCCAGGGCTTTTACACTCAGCTACATTTTCAGCCCTTATTTTATTTTTGAGACAAGGTCTCACTAAGTCACTAAATTATCCAGGCTGGGTTTGAACCCAACTTACTTATAAGCTCTGATCACTGCCTTGCATGCACAAGGTCCTGGGTTTGATCCTCAGCACCACACACACACACACACACACACAAACTTTGATGAGAAGAAATAATTTATCCACAAAAAAGTTAATGAGCTGGACGTGACAGTATACACCTGTAATTCCAGCACTATGGAAGCTGAGGCAGAAGGATGCAGGAGTTCAAGACCAGCCTGGGCTACATAGCAAGTTCAGCCTAAACTATATAAAGAGACCCTATCTCAAAAAAACAACAAAAAAGTTAACAAACTACTTTATACCAGTGTATATTTTATTTTTCCAAAGTGAGAATTCCATAGTCATTTCTCAGAGAATCAAGAAGATTTTAGAACTCTTACATCATGCTCTTGTCTGAAATGTTTCTGGAAATAGTAACTGCAGCCACCACTTTGTTTGTTTGTTTGTTTGTTTGTTTTGTCAGTACCAGGGTTCGAACTCACGACTGCCTGCTTCCAAGGCAGGCGCTTATGCCGCTGAGCTAAATCCCCAGCCCCTACAGCCACCACTTTCTATGGTTCATGCATTCTACCAAGAGTTTTATGTATGTTACCTCTAATTTTTGTGACAACTCTGCAAGACAGCGTTTTGTTTTGTTTTGTTTTGTTCTGTTTTGTTTCTGGAGACAAGGTCTCACTGTGTAGTTCAGGGTGCCCTTAAATTTATATATAGGAGAGTTTAAGCCCAGGTTGAGTGCTGGGATTACAGGTATGCACCACTATGCCCGGTGAAGGTGGGTATTATTATCTCCAATGTAAAGATGAAAAAATTAAGACTCTCAAATACAATAATGAGAGACCATCTCAGGATTCAAATCTACTATTCCTGAATTTAAGCACTTCCCATTATAACATATCTCCTCCACAATCACAGGTAAGCATCTGAAAAATTATTTATGGATTATCTATAGAAAGCTACTACTGCCGGGCGTGGTGGCTCACGCCCATAATCCCAGCACTCGGGAGGCTGAGGCAGGGGGATTGTTGAGAGTTCAAGACCAGCCTGGGCTACAAAGTAAGTTCAAGGCCAGCCTGAACTGCAGAGAGACCTTGTCTCAAAAAAAGACAAAAAAAAAAGAAAGAAAGCTACTACCACTCTCCATCCTCCCACAACAGGGAGACTAATGAAGCCACAGAGGGCTCACCAACCTCTAAGGTTTCAGTCCTTTAATAACTATGCACATAAAAATTAGCTCTATGCAAACAGACTCTCTAAAGAATGAGTGCTAAACAGGGAAAATACGCCAAATCTCAATCGTTCCTACGTTTCCATTATAATGTACAGTATTTATTTCTTATAGCTTCATTTCACAAAAATGGAGAAGATGCAACTTTACACAATAGTGTAGACACAAATAAAACCTTGCAATGCACAAAAAACTATCAACCAAGCTGGGGATTTGGCTCAGCGATATAAGCAGCTGCCTGACAAGCATGAGGTCCTGAGTTTGATCACCAGTACGAAAGAAAAAAAAGCTATCAACCAATAGGTAATAGGATATGGCAGTACAGTATTAGCCAGCAACCAAAAATCTTCAGTGTTTACCCAAAAACAGAATCATGTGTTCAAACCTGGTAACAAAGTTTCACAAACTGAGTAAAATGAGTGTATGAAATTTCAGTGAACTTTTACATCCCTTGTATAAAGACAAGAAAAAAAAAACAATATACTCCTATTTTATCTAACATCACAGAGTGTGCAGAATGTGGTGGCACATGCTGCAATTTCAGCACTCAAGAGGCTGAGACAGGAGCATTGCCTTAAGTATGAAGCCAGTTTGAACCACAAGACTTGTCTCAAAAAAAAAAAAAAAAAAAAGCCAGAGAACAGCCCTAAACTAATTAAAATAAGGATTCATTATGAGTGACATGTAGTCCAGAAAACTGGTCATTTATTTTTCCAGATTAAGAATACTAACAAGTCTAATAACAGTGTATCAAGACCAAACACATGGCAACTCTACATGACAGGTCTGCTCAGTGATTATTCTTTCTACATCCCAACACAGCAAATACAAACACATTTCAGGATGACTGCCTAATTAAAAATAAAAGCAGTACTGCTGAGCTTGCCATCTTCCTGTGAAATAAACTGTGGTTTCTATTCAAACCAAATGCATTGTAGCATTAAAACTGGCACCCTTTATTTAATTAGCCATGGAATTTCACAACGCCATATATTAGTGCCAGACAGATCAAAAGCCAGTTCTTAAAGTGCATTAGCTTTTTTGCATAAGCATCATGATTGTTATGAACTAGAATTCCAGTAGCTGGGCCATGACATAAAACAGAAACTTAGGCTCAAAACTATAAAGGCATTTAGTGGTTAGCTAGTTAAATGTTTTTGATCAGTGTGGGAATGTCATCTATTAACTCACTCAAATGTTAACAGGAGTCCCACTAGGTACAAGACATTACAATAGGTTCTATCATACTTATTAAACATTTACCATAATCCAGATTCTTTTCCAAGTGCTCTACATTTAATATCCATTACAGTTCTATAACAGTACCATTAACCCCTTTCATTTTTTTATTTTTTTTTCTAAAATCTAAGTGTTGATATTAACCCCTTTTACACATTTGGAAACAAAGCCATGAAGGAATTGTTAAGTTGGTTAACCTAATAGCCAAGAAGTGCTAAGAGCTAAAATTCCAGCCCTGTGCCGGGTGTAGTGGTACATGCCTGTGATCAAGAGGATTACTGCAAATTTGAGGCCAGCCTGGACTACATAGTGAGTTCAAGGCCAGCCTAGAAAATACATTGAGACCCTGTCTCACAAAAGAAGGAAGGAAGGAAGGAAGGAAGGCAGGCAGGCAGGCAGGCAGGCAGGCAGGCAGGCAAGCAAGCAAGCAAGCAAGCAAGCAAGCAAGCAAGCAAGCAAGAAAGAAAGAAAGAAAGACAGACAGACAGAAAGAAAGAAAGAAAGAGAGAAAGAAAATTCAAACACAGCTAAGCACCTATAATCACAACACTCAGGAGGCTGAGGCAGGAGGATCACTGTGAGTTCAAGGCCACCCTGGACTTAAGAGAGCTCAACACCTGCCTGGACTGCATAGCAATTAATTGTCTCAAAAAAAAAGAAAGAAAAGAAAGAAAAGAAAGAAAGAAAGAAAAGAGAAACAGAATTCAAGCCCAGAACTTGTCTCTTTAATCACTGTACTAACACTACTTCTCTGGAAGGCTAAACAAAACAGAGTAAAACAAGACTTCCCCTCTTAAGGAGCTTAGTTCCAGAAAGACACAATGGATACAGCACAGTGCAATTGCTAATGTCCTGACAGTGAGGACAGAAAAGTAGGAATGGAGGTAAGTAGTTTTAAAAAGGAAATTGGCCAGGTATGGTGATGCACATCTGCAATCCTGCACTCTGTAGGCTGAGGCAGAAGGACTGAAATGAGTTTGAGGCCTGTGTGGGTTACATGGGGAGTTCAAGGCTATCCTGAACTGCACAAGACTCTGTGTCAAAGAACCAGAAAGGAACGAAGGGAAGAGAGAAAGAAGGGAAAAGAAAGAGAAGGTGGGAGGGAGAACAAGAGCGAGGGCAAGAAGGAGAGAGGGAGGAAGGGAAACAGGGAGAGAAGGAAGGAAGGAGAAATAAACCAAATGGGCTGGTATATAGTTTAGCAGTACAGCACTTATCTAGCATGCACAGGCTCTGGGTTCAATTTTCAGCACAGCTAAGTAAAATTTAATTCAGCTTTCATTGTTACCTTATCTGTTAATGTGCCTTTAAAATAGCCGGACAAGTAGACCAGGGATTTAGCTCAGCGGCACAAGCGCCTGCCTGGCAAGTGGAAGGTCATGAGTTTGATTCCCACTACCCAATAAACAAATAAAGAAAGAAAGAACAACAAAATAGCTGGCATGGTGGCACACTTCTGTAATCCCAGCACTCAAGAGCCTGAAGCAGGAGGATCCTTGCTAGTTTGAGACCAGAATGACCTACAGAGTGAGCCCAAGGCCAGCCTGAACTGAATAGCAAGACCCCGTCTCAAGAATTAATTAATTAATTAAAATACAGTGGCACTCTAGGCAAGGTGCTGCACACCTGTAATCCCAGTACTTGAAAGGGTGAGGCAAGAGGATAGCTGCAAGTTTGAGCCAGCCTGGACTATACAACAAAATACTACCTTAACAATAATAATAAAATAACAACAAAAAATACAGTGGCAAGTTGCCATTAGAGCTAGCATGGTGGGAGCTGTGGTCCTTGTCAGTCAGGTTCCACAGGGGCCAGGGCCAGAAAGTGCAGAAGGTGATGGTGCAGCCCATCAATCTCATCTTCAGATACTTGCAGAATAGATCCCAGATTCAGGTGTGGCTATATGAGCAAGTGAATATGCGGACAGAGGGCTGTATTATTGGTTTTGATGAGTACATGAACCTTATATTAGATGATGCAGAAGAAATTCATTCTAAAACCAAGTCAAGAAAACAACTGGGTCGGATCATGCTGAAAGGAGATAATATTACTCTGCTGCAAAGTGTTTCCAACTAGAAATGATCAGTGAATTAAGACAGCAATGAGAAGCAATGGTAATTAGGATAAATGTCAATTACTATGTGTACCCATGTAAAAAAGGCAGCTGATTAAGTGGTTTGCCTTGGGAGTATTTGTAAATGTTTGTTCATATTGTTTTGGCTACCCTTATGTTTTTACTGGAGGTCAATAAATGTAGGGTTGTTTTTATTTAAAAAAAAAAAAAAAACACAGTGGCAAGCTGAACATGGTGACACACATCTGTAATCCAAGCACTCAGGCAGGAGAACTGTAGTAAATTGGAGACCAGACTGAACTATACAATGAAACCCTGTTTTAAAAATATAAAAATAAGGGGCCAGAGATTTAGCTCAGCATTATGTGCATTCCTGGCAAGTGCAAGGTCATGACTTCGATCCTCAGTACCAAAAACAAATAAATAAAGATACAAAAACAAAGTCCAACAACATACCCTCAATGGTAAAAATTTGCATTGAGCATGGGTAGCACAGACCTGTGATACCAGAACTCTGGGACACTGAGGCAGGAGGGGTACAAATTACAGCCTGCTTCAGGTAACTTCAAAACCTCAAAATAAAAACAGAAATGAAAACCAGAGAATGGCTGAAGATATAGCTCAGTGTGAAAGCCCAGGGTTCAATCTCCAGTACTCCCCAAAAATATACATACATATATATATATATATATATATATATATATATATATATATAATTACCTATGTGATTTACCTAGCACAGAATTCAGTGAAACTATGCATACAAAGAATACAGTTCATCTTCAGTGTATTCTAAGCGTCTTTTACTTATATGCTGAAATATACAATGATATAAAAAAACAAACTGATACTGAACCCTGCTCAAGTAATCTGAGATGTTAAAATATAAATATAAAATACAGAAATGTTTAAATTGCAAGGATATAGTTTTAATTTAAGAGGGTTTGAATGTGACGAGAAGATAAAGCAATTTGCTTCTATTTCTGAAGTTAGAAAATAGTTTATTTGAAAACAAAGAGTCTTAGAAACTGCAAGAAGAAAGCAACCAAGAAGAAAGAAGTTAGGTCCCTACAGTTAGGTTAGGCTGTTGTGTAGTTTAAAGACACAGATTAAAGACATTGGACACAGATTAAAGACATTGGACAAAAAGGTAAAGAAAATCAATAATATGAAGGAGTACTGAAAGTTCAACAAATGATATTTTTTCAATCTTGTTTTCTTTCTCAAATGTATTACTGTGCCAAAAGGACTATTTCATAGCTATGAGTGACAGTACATACCTGTAATTCTAACACTAAGGAGAAGCAGAAGCAGGAAGATCTAAAAGGACTAACTTAACTCAATGCTACAGCACTTGGCTAACATGAATGAAGCTCTGGGTTCAACTGTCAGCATCTCACAACACACACATACACACACACACACACAGAGTCATTTTCAGTTCAGATTATCACTCCTTTACAAATACAATTTTCTTTAATAATATTTCTAGCCAGGCATGGTGGCACATGCCTGGAATCCCAGCACTCGGTGAGCTCAAGGCTAGCCCGAACTGCATAGTGAGATCCTGTCTCGAAAAAACAAAATAAAATAAAATAATAATATTTCTACTATTTCATAGTCATGAAATATTTCAACAGCATTTCACACCAGCCAGAAGAAAGTACACTGCTAACTATTTTCATATAACAAACGACAGTTTTAAATTCTTTCAAGGATATGTGTTGCTTACAAAATTCTTTATCCTGATATTCAAGGACTTGGCTCCACTTAAACTATTCTTTCCAGGTGTGGTGGTGCATGCCTGTAACTCCAGCACTTGGGAGAGGCTGAAGCAGGATAACCTGAGTTCCAGTCCTGCCTGGGCTACATAGTGAATTCAATACCAGCCGGAACTACACAGTAAGATTCAATCTCAAAAAATCAAATAAATAAACAGTAAATAAAAACCAATCATTATCAACCCCTGACTTAGTCCACATGTTCAATGCAGTGTTCCCTTCCTACCTGAGCTTACCTGATATCCTACCTCTTTCCAGTTCTTTTAACCCTCGCACTTGCCAGATAGGTGCTCCACCACTGAGCTAAATCCCCAGCCTTCTTTTAATACTTTTTGATTACACGTTTACTTATTACTCAACTAAGGTTTTTTGGGTTCTCTTAACTCCACTCCCACACTCGCTTCCACCATCTGCTCTCTAGGCTGAATAAACTTTCCAGAACCCTTCATGTGTCATACAAAGGCTCTTCCTTGTTTGGCCCCTACCAGATCTAGCCTCATTTCTAGCTCTTCTACCCAGAGACACAATCTACACCAAACACAGACACTGTTCATTACATTCAATGACTATGTGTGTAATATTCTTTTTCTGTGATGTGTTGTTTTCATTGTTTGTTTTTTAAGAGGTTAACTCACTACAATGTAGCCCAGGCTGACCTCAAACTCCAGGGAATCCTCTCAGCCTCCTGAGTCTAGGATTACAAACAGGCATGCACCACTGCATCTGGCTCTTGGATATGCTCTTTTGGATTTTTCCACACAGCTCTTTCAGTAATCATCTCCTATGGGAAGTATTCTCTGAACTCTCAATCAATCCTTTTTGTTCTTTTGATAATCCCCTGCATGAATCTCAGTTATATTATCAAATAGCATTTAATTATTGCTTATCTCTACCATTGGACTATGAGCTCCATAAGGGCTTGGTCTTGAACTTGCTCACCTTCAGATGAATTATGGCATATAGATTTCAATACTGTGATATTCATCAAAATTTACAGGGAGAAAAAATAGGAATTAAGATTCCACATTTCCTATATAAAAACAAAAAAATCATTAGCTTATTCACTCAGTAACCAATATTTATTCAGCACACTCTAGGGGCCAGGCACTATGCCAAAGCCTAGAAGTTGGATTTGACAATATAGACATCCACAGAGCAAGAATTCTGAGAGGGTACAGTCCAAAGTGTTAGCATTCATTATTAATTCGTTGATTCTTGGGCAGGTTACAAAAATGTTTTATTTTCTCCCTAGAAATCTACTCTACTTTCCTAATTCTTTCTTAATGAATATGCAATTCTTTGATAATCACGTAACTTTCTTTTAGTCTTCCCAGATTATAAAGTCCTACAAATCAGTAGGATTAGTACCCAAAGTAAACAGTGTTCAAATTTGTGAACCATAGCTAATGTGAGTGCAAAACAACTGAGAACTTTAGTCAGATTCTAATACAAGGAACAATAAGACTAAAATATACAAAAATATTTCAGGATTTCCATGGTAGAACTGTTGTGAAAATCATTTGAAAAAGATCCCATGCAAATAGTCCAACAGAAACCTAAACCATAAGATCAACATCATGCTAGTTTTTCATATCACAGAAAAAAAATTGTTATCACTCTGTTCTATTTAATGCAGAGAAAGAGAGGTGCTATATAACTTGTTTGGAAGACAAATTAATAAATAACACCATATTTCATCTGTATAATGATTTACAGTTTACAGTTCACAAAGCACTTTGACCTTCACAATAAATTCTGCTTTCTTATTTCCACTGGATAGATTAAGAAGCTAAGGACTGAGCTGGGCGTGGTGGCTCACGCCTGTAATCCCAGCACTCCGGAGGCTGAGGTGGGAGGATCATTGCGAGTTTGAGGCTAGCCTGGGCTACAAAGCGAGCTCAAGGCCAGCCTGAACTGCATAAGGAGACCCCGTCTCAAAAAGACAAAAAAAAAAAAAAACCTAAGGACTGAGAGCTGGGGATGTAACTCAGTGGTAGACAGTTTGCCCAGCATACAAAAGGCCCTGGCATCAAAAAAGAAAATGAATAAGTAATAAGTAAAAGAAACTAAGAGTTGAAACCTGGACAGCCTTTCTAATGAAAACTCAAAATCCAAAAGCCATGAAAGAATACACTGCAAAGTTTGTCTTCATAAAAAGGAATAAAACAGCTGGGGGGGGGGGATAAAATAAAAAGTCAGCAGGCAAATACCAAATGAGGTTAGAGGCACAGTTCAGTGGAAGTCTGTGTGATTAATCTGCAAGAGGCCCTATTTTCCCTCCTCAAGCACCAAAAGGAGTAGAGAGAGAAAAACTTATAAAACATAGCAGACAAAATATTTCACTTTTTAGTTGCCAGGAATTTAGCTCAGCTGCAAAGCAACTGCCTGCCAAGCACAAGGTCCTGAGTTCAATCCCCAGGACCAATAAAAAAGATTTGTTTCCAAACTATTTCACTTTTTACACCGAGTTGTAGCAATCAGTAGGAAGTGATTAACAACAGAAAAGGAGGTAAAGAATTTAAACAGGTAGTTTACAAAAAAGGAAAGAGGAACAATCATATATAAAGCTACTCTGAGATATCATCTATCAGATTAGCAAAAATTCAAGTTTGTTTTTGTCTTTTTTTTTTTAATCGGTACTGGGGATCGAACTCAGACCATGCGCTTGCAAGGCAGGCGCTTATGCCCCTGAGCTAAATCCCCAGCCCCTAAAAATTCAAGTTTGATAGCAGCAAAACATAATACTAACAACACAGATCCTGCAGCCAGTATTTTAATTTCTGCCATGCAGTAGCTGTGCAATTTGGGCAAGTCACTTAAATTCTTTAGTGCTTAATGTATTTACCTGAAAAACAGAGATAATAGTGGTACCTACTTCAAAAGGATTTTACTTCGATCCCCGGTACCGATAAAAAGGAAAAAGACCAAAAAAAAAGGATTTTACAAAGGTTAAATGAGATAATATACATAAATTATTTAGTACCCATGGCACATAGTACACACTATATAAACATTTGTTATAATATAGCCAATGTTAGTATGTAAATAGGCACTCATATCAGAACAACCCTAAGGAAGGCAATTTTAGCAATATATTTCATAGTGATAAATGCACACATACTTCAACTTCTGTGAATTTATCCTATAAATTTCCTTGCACAAATGTAAAATAACGTGTTCAAAAGTCTTCTTTACGGCATTTCTTGTATTATTGAAACATTGCTCTCAAAAAGAGTGCTATACTATATTTTAAA